TGAGAGGAAGGAGTTTGGTCTGGCAAATCCAGATGAGTGGTGCCAGGTTCAGGATGGTGCAGATCTTAGCTGCTGCTGTTTGCAGGGTTCCTGAGTGGATCCCCAGAACAGCAAGGAGGTGGCGCCACCTGTGATGAGTGGGATCTATGACTCTACTGTTATCATAAACAGCTAAAGTGAGACTGCATGTCTCAAAACAAATTAGCAAAATACTTTGTGATGCTGTGTCCTGATTTTTTTTTAAAGGATCTGTTAATTTGCACACACAACGATTAGTCCCCAATCTTGCCAGGGACTCTGCAGTGGGGTTTCCCACACAACTTCCTTGCAGGATCAGGTGCTTGCTCTGCAAAGGGTCTCCCATTCACTTGAGAGCATTAGTGTGTTTTTACCGTATAATATTTCACTTCAAAATCAAACATTTGACAATACTTACGGGACTGACTTAGTCTCAAGGTCTCTAGTGTTCATCTAAAGCTGAACAAAAAGGTTCCCTGCTTAATTACTAGCTCACACTTTGAAGTTAGTGTGTTACTAATGAAAGGAACAAATGCTTCATATAATTTAGTTTCTGCTCAGTAACCCTTTGCCATCTGTATCCAATTTAACTAATGACCTAATAATCATTTACTCAGAAAACCCCAGGAAGCATTAACTACACTGCATCGAAGTGTCTCTTAAAAACAACTTAGAGAACTTTAAAAGACAATCTTACTTTAAAGCATTACCCTTTCTTCTCCAGGCTAGGATAAAAGCTCAGCTGTGTTTTCTGTCACACTGAGAGGCCAGCTTGTAATTTCAGCAAAGTTTTCATTCATACCAAGCAATTTAACATTCCGGGTGGCCATGCTCCTAGCTGTCTTTGTAATTTCAATGTGTCCTATATCCCTACCCGCTCCATCAGCTCTGCTCACTCAGGCCTCCTGCAATGACACCTCTTTTGTCACACACTGATCCTTTATTGTCACCATACCAGCTATTTAGCACTGTCTGCATACAAAATGAGGTTCCTAAATATGCATCCTACTTTGGATTCCTGCTCCCATTTAAGAATCTATAGCAATGTGGGATTGGAAGGGACCCTGAGACTTCAGACCTTTAGGCCTGGTCTACACTGTGTCAGGAGGTCAAAGTAAGATACACAGCTCCAGCTATATAAATTACACAGGTGGAGTTGATGTATCTTACATAATGTTTCTGCACTGTCCACACAGTGAGATGCCGATGGGAGCAAATGCTCCCATTGGCTTCTTTTACTCCTCATGAGAAACAGGAGTACTGGTGCCGATTGGGGTACCCTTTAAGTTGGATCTAGTGGGTCTATACCAGTGTTCCCTCTAAGATTTTCCATCTGTGAGCGGGGTGAGTTTTATCTTGTGCACCAATATTGTGGTCATGTGTGCTTGTTCGGATGTGTCCCATTGTGGCACCTACCCATTACTAAAAAATTATATATGTATAATTTAAATTGCTATGCAAGAAAAAGTACTAAAAATGGATAATTAACAAGGTGCATGACCCTGTACCCACCCACCCTGAAAACCATCCAGATTGCTGCCCCCTGCCCACACTGTGTGCCCCACTGCCTGTGCCCCCATCAGGACCACACACAGCCAGCTGGCACCTGTATAGGTCTGGCTAGCTGCCTATCCCCACACACACCCTGTAATTGTGCCCAGCCTTGCCATTTGCCCCCTCCCATATGCCACCAGTATAAATGCCAGGGCCATGCTATCTGACCCCCAAACACAAACAGCCAGTACTTGGGCTCAGGGCCCACAGCCAAAGCACCACTGCCCAAAGACCTGTACACAGCCCCACATCACCAGTTTCACCCCTTCCCCATCTCCCAGCGGTCTGTGCCCAGCCCCACACCTCGCCTGTTCTCCCCCCTACATCTCCCAGAGACCTGTGTCTGACCCCGCACCTTGCCCTCTTCCTCCCCCGGCCAATTTACCTGCACCCAGTACCTCCCCTCACCACAGATGGCTGGTGCCTTTGCCCCCCCCCCAGCCAACCCCGATACTAGCCCTGCTGCTCTCCTACATGGGCTCCCACGTGGCAGCGTCAGCTGCGGCCCTGGCCCTGGCTGCCCGAGCAGCCTCCTGCTGCCTGCCACACGATTTCTCTGGCCCCGGACACTGGAGCAGTCTCTTGACGCCAGCCACATGGCTCTGCCTAAGACATTTTTTCTGTGTGCCTGGGCAAGTGTGCAGCTGAGGGAACCTTGGTCTTTATTACATCTGCTAAATCGAACCGCTGAAGATTGACCGTGGCAGCGTCGATCTTACGGGTAGCATAGACATGCTGTTACAGCTAATCCTACAAGCTATCTGTATGTCTTCTTCATCCCACTTTCTAAATACAGACAGTGGCTCAAAACGCCAATGTTTATCCCTTCCCCTTTTTTCTGAAATAATTTTGCGTGAATAAGAAGTTTTAAAAAAATCCAAGTTTTACTGCAAGTAGCATTCTGAGAGCCAAGTGTCAAAAACTAGCAAGCTCTTTAGTATACTGTTTTCTCTATCTGGGACCAATCTGCTTTGATTGACAATGCCTCAATTCTCTCTTCAAGGAGAGCATCCATTTTAAAATGTACTTCAAAATGCACCTTTTCAGGGACTGGAGGTCATTATGTGGATGAAATACTGCATAACAAGACTTATTTGTGATTTAAATTTGTGTGAGAGAGACTTAAAAAATGGCTGAATTAATCGAGGCTTGTTATTGTCTGTAGTCAATGTGTGCAAACCTTTCCTTCCCCTTCAATATTCCCATCAGGGAGACAAAGGAGGAAAGGATAGCCAGGGGTTGTTAGATAGTATAAATCCTTCAGCAATCAAGATGTATAATCCTTTGTAAGGACACATGCATTTCCCTTCCTAAATTGGTATTGCTTGTCATTAAGAATATCTTCATGCAGATAAGATGACACCCTTTGTATTTCACAGATCATCTGTTCAAATCTACATTTCATTAGCACTCGTGCCCACTTGAAACTGGCATATTACTGTGTGGTAGCCAACTCTTACCACAATAAAAACAACAAAGAGTCCGGTGACTAAAGACTAACATTTATTAGGGTATTAAAGCATAAGCTTTTGTGAGCTACAATTCACTTCCTCAGATGCTGAAGAGAAAAAGAAAGACAGAAAAAAAACCAGAGATGATATGATAACAAAGCTAATTAAATCAGAATGGATGTGGCTTATCTCCAATAGTATAGCTTATTAGTGATAATCTGGAAGTACAGCTATATTTTTAATGGAAGATTTTTGGAGCAAAGTCGTGGCAACAATAAAATATTGGGATAGATTTTTGCATATTACTGGTACAAAACTAAGGCCTGATTCTGAAAACCATTTCTTATGCATGCAGATAGCTTTGATGGTAACAATGGAAGTATTCATGCAGGATCAATTTCTCAAATACAGTAGTAGCACCATGAAAATACAGGGGTAACTTGATTATAAGCACTTAAATGGGCCACACTAACCTGATGATGAGCTCTTGAATCTAGCAAAAAAGAATATAACAAGATCCAGTTGCTGAAAACTGAAGCCAGGTGATTCAAACAGGAAATAAGGCATCCATTTAATAGTGACGATAATGACTAAGTTGTCCCATTTGTTAAAATACATGGTGGAGTCTTCATCACTAGCCATTTAAAAATCAAGATGGGATTTTTTTTTTCAAAAAGATATGCTATAGCTCAAATAGAAATTACTTCTGGAAAGGTTTATGGTCTGTGTTATGCAGGGCATCCCACCAGACTGAGGATCATCCTTCTGGCTTCAGTTTTATATATCTTGATATAGTGGTGACATATAAACCAGGAGCAAGTGTCCTTCTATGGGAAGCCATGGTACAAAAGGTATGCCTGCCTCAGATTCTCTCCTTCAGAGTCACCAGTATTTCTGTCAGTCTGTCTTGCCTCAGTAATGTCACAAAAATACCGGACACACTTGACATTGCATCACAATCTACATTACATCTTATTTAGAAAATACCGGACCATTTATATTTTCTCAATTTGTTTCCCGAACAGAAAGCTCAAATACTGGACTGTCCTGTTCAAAACCAGACACCAGGCAACCCCATACCTAGTTCCTTGATACCTATACACACACTGGAATATTATGGGCTTTTCTTCTGTCCTCATCCATCCTTTTATCAGGACTCCAACCCTATCCCTTCCAGCTGGACTGCAACCCCACTCTTCCCTGCAGGAGCCCTCACCCTCACCCTCACCCTCACCCTGTTTCATCTTCTGGCATAACGAGGCATAACGGAGCGGTAGACAAAGGCTTCCCTTGTCAACCGCTTCGCATCTAGACTGCCGCGCTGTGCCAGATCAGCTGATTGTCGACACGGCGTGGCGACCATTTTTATTTTAATGAAGTGGGGATTATTTAAATCCCTGCTTCATCAACTATGTCGGGTAAACTACTTTAAATAGCTCTGTCGATGGAGCTATGTAGTCTAGATGCACCCTTAGTGAAGATGCTACCTTCATTGAGTTTCTCTCCTCAGTGCAGGTACTCCATCTCCCTGAGAGGCAGTAACTATGGTGATGAGAACCCATCCCCACCCTCCGGTCAATACAACATTGCCTAAATGGGGGTGGTTAGGTCAATATAACTGCATTGCTCAGAGGCAATTCAGTTATACCAATGGGAATTGGTAGTGTAGGCCCAGCCTCTGTGTCAGTCTGTCCACTGGACAGTACTTGACTATTCACACCCACCTCCTCTCCCGATAAGGCCTTTTGAACTGTTTACTGTCCTTTTGATGTCTGGGCTCCCAGGCTGGCAAAACAAGGCTTGCCTCTTCACTGGAGACAGGATCTCCCCCAGTTGTCTTTCAAGGATGTGCTGAAATGTTCTTATCTGGGAAGCCTTCCTGTTTGTTTTTTCCACAGAGCCCCCTATTAAGTTACATCAGTACATTCATATAAAAAAGTCTTATAACACACTGTGCAATAACTTCACGTCACTCACCATATCTCAATTTGTAAAGTTATTACATCTGCCACAAATGGAGTACCCAAATGCTGTTGCCGGGGCAGAGGTCCACCATTCTGTGGCAAAAACAAAATATGTGAGCAGGGGATGATGCACAGGTGGAAACAGATATGTGAGGATCAGAGTACAGAGTTTAGGTAATGTATTCTATCCACCCATCCCATGCTGAAATAGACTGTTTGTAATGTGTGGCAGAGAATTATAATGGAACTTTTTACTCTGTACTAGTCACCTATTGATACAATGGTCTGAGTGTCACTGCAAATACCTCTGTAAGACGCAAGACATTTTTATCACAAAAATGGAAGGATCTTTTTAAAAAGTAACAGAACCACTCTTCCCTTGTGCTTTTTCCTGGAGTGTCCAGCTGGGGAGTTACACTGGTGTAATTATGGCAGTCAGCTTCCCCATGTAAACAAGTCCTTCACACATTTCTCATTTTAGAGCCTAGCACTTAAACAATTTAGAAAGGCTGATTAGTCAATCCCACCATAAGGATCATCAAGTTTATGAGCACATGGCCTACAAAAGGACTTTTAATTCCTAGCACAAGAAATGTTAACGATAGAAAAGATGATCTCTGCTAAATAATATTTGGAGTCCTACATAGACATAAGAACATAAGAACATAAGAACGGCCGTACTGGGTCAGACCAAAGGTCCTTCTAGCCTAGTATCTTGTCTACCGACAGGGGCGAACACCAGGTGCCCCAGAGAGGTGGACCGAAGACAATGATCAAGCGATTTGTATCCTGCCATCTCTCTCCAGCCTCTGACAAACAAAGGCCAAGGACACCATTTTATCCCCTGGCTAATAGCCTTTTATGGACCTAACCTCCATGAAATTATCTAGCTTCTCTTTAAACTCTATTATAGTCCTAGCCTTCACAGCCTCCTCTGGCAAGGAGTTCCACAGGTTGACTACACGCTGTGTGAAGAACTTTCTTTTATTCGTTTTAAACCTGCTACCCATTAATTTCATTTGGTGACCTCTAGTTCTTCTATTTAGGGAACTAATAAATAACTTTTCCTTATCGGCCCTCTCCACACCACTCATGATTTTATAGACCTCTATCATATCCCCCTTCATATTCATATTCATTATGTGTATTGCAGAAGTGCCTACACAGGCTCCAACCACAGATCAAGCCCCCACTGTGCTAGGCACTGTGCATATACATCACACACACACACACACACACACACACACACACACACACACACACACACACATGATAATCTTAACGGGAAGTATAACTTTCTTATATAAGTAGAGAAAATCCAGCCAGTCTCTGCAAAAGCTTCTGAACAGAGATGTGAGATGGGCAGCAGTTCTTGCTGCTCGTGACATGGTTACTCTACCATATAGAATGTGATGCCCTTCTCAGGAAGCTGTGGGGGCAGAGGGGAGTTGTGGCATGTGCACAGGGAAGTCAGAGGTAGAAGAGCAATGGTTAAATGGGGTGGTATGTACTCAGGTGTGGATATGCCTGAAAGGCAAGGTGGAAAGCGGTGGTAGAATAGGATAGGGACAGCACAGGTGGAAGGGGATGGTATGTGTGCAGGCAGGGATGGCAGAGCAGTGGTGGAATGGGGTAGCATGTGTGCAGGAAGGACTGGAGCAGTGGAATGAAATACTTGCAAAGAGGGCAAGATGAAGAGTGGTGAGGGAATAGGTTATGTGCTGGAAGGGCTAGGATGGACATGGGATGAAGAATAGGATTCTGTGACAAGCGGGATATTTGTAAGGAATTTAGGGGTGAGCCTAAGTGTCTAGAATACATACAGGTGGAAGGGCTGGAGACTAAGGCTTTGTCTACACTACACAGTGTTTAGTGACGTGCCTTGTTGCTAAAAGCTGGACAGTGTAGTTACTAATGGACTGGTAGCACTTTAAAGACTAACAAAACATGTAGATGGTATCATGAGCTCTCTTGGGCACAGCCCACTTCTTCAGATGACCAGAGATATGCGTTTAGGATGTGCACACCCAAAATAAATAGGAGACGGGAAGGGGAAAAAAAGGAAGGAGGGTTGGAGACAGAGAGCTAGAGGGAATCAGTAAGTATCTGAAGATTGGGAGTTAAAATGAAGCAGATACATGTTTTGTTAGTCTATAAAGTGCTACCAGACCATTTGTTGTTTTATTCTGTAACAGACTGACTCAGGTACCCCCGAAGCTCGCCAGTAAAACACTCCCATCCCCAACAAGCAGTGTTTGCGTTGTCGATAGGAGAGTGCTCTTACAACAACACGCTGTTCCAACAGGCACTGGTGGTAAAACTTTTGTCTTTTGGTGTGTGTGGGGAGGTAGCACCTTTGAATGATGAAAGTTTTATTGTTCAACTGCCAGTGTAGACATAGCCTAGGAACAGGTTACCTGCGAGAATTGTATTGGAACGGGACAGGTTCAGAGATGGAAAAACTGAACTAAAGCAGCAAGTTACACAATCTCACAAAAGTTTTTGAAATCCTGGATAAATGCAGTGTGTAAATTAAAGTAGCCCCAGACAGTTTAACCTGGTATAGCCAGCTAGCAATTGCACAGCAGCTCACCTGAGGTCTTACTGACCGTGGCTGTATTTTCACATGGATTAAATGTTCTTGAACAATTTCTCCAATGTATTCATCACAAACAAGTTTTTCTTTAACATCAGGCAAGCATGTCTCCCCATTCCAGCTCTTTTCTCCCCTCCTATAAATGAATGAAATATTTGTGTTTGTAGGATCACTGAAAGCAAAAAACAGACTTCCTCTTAATTGCTTCATTCTGCCTCCTGCTGTTTTTAGGGACAGAGTCCTTTGCCGAACATTTTATTTTGTGGAATTCATCCTCTTCGAGACTCCTAGAGCAACTGGTAGTGTTTATTGATCTTTCCCCACAGCTGTTCTGTTTTTTCACAGGATTGAGATTGATTATCCTCAGCCCAACATGTGAAGCTTCAGCTGAGCTTTTGTCTTGTTTCCCTGAAGAGTTTTCACTGGCACCAGTGTCAAAAGGTGAGAAGGTAGCAGCTTTTTAGTGATCAGTTCTATGGTAATGACAACTTTTTGTGGACCCATTAGAGGCTTAGACATAGTCTGCAGCCCCCCAAGGGGCTGCAGACCACAGGCTGACAAACCATAGCTTTAGAAGGGGGGAAAGGGTGACAACGATTGGGGAGAAAGCAGACAGCTGTGCAGGAAACACAGGGAAGATCTGGAGGAGCAAACAGGTGGGTAGGTCTGGAAAGGGCCAAGGGGAGTCCCTGGGGTAGCACTGAATGATCTTCCAAAGCAGATGGGCAGCTCCTAGCAGCAGGTTTTTCATTTTCACTCATTTTCCTGATGTTCTTCTCCCTCTTCACTGAATTCTACTAGTCAGATCCCCATCTGACTAATTTACCAGACCACATGTGAAGAGATTTAATACCAATATGTATATACATATGCCCATGCACACACACAGATATTACATACCTTTCATCTCAGAAGTGTCTTACAAACTATAGAAATGTAGCCACCTCTGGGATGGGATGGCAGCAGTCAACTGGCATGCAGTTAGCTGCACAGCAGTGAGGGATATAGTATGAATTTAACATTAATGAGAATAACTTATCAAGGAAAAAAGAAAATTAGTTATTCAAAATTATTATTGTCTTACCTCTCTGTGGACTCAAAAGAAAGTGAAGCTGAAACTTTTCAAGAGCAACTGTTTTCCAGAAACAAGGTGAAGATCCCAGAATGTCCCTTAAGCAATAAGAAGAAAACCTAAAGACCCTTTGGTAACCCTCCAAAAAGCTGTCCTCTTTGTCCTACTGCTAATACAGTTTACCCTTCCTAAGCCTGGGCGAAGCGTTGTCTAACTCGAAATGAATAACGCAAAGGCTTCTCAAAGTAAGCCTGAATGCTCAGTGCAGAGTGTGTTTTCTGTAGGAAACTCCACACCAATCAGCAGCTTCTGTGCCTCCCCCTGCCCTGTGGTGGGAGGTGCAGCAGGAAAAGCACGTCAGTTTAAGAACAAGAATATGCTTAATAATTTTTCCCTATGTCTTTCTGGAGACATCTATCCTTGAAAAAAATACCGAAATCCTGTCATTTGTTGACACAGTAACCATATCTAACATTTTGTTGCTTCAGAAGCCATTTGCAGAAAACAATTCATTATGAGGATGATTTATCCAGCCTGCAGCACTTTGGTTTTATGTGGTTTTGCTTTTCA